CGGCTCACTGCAAGCTCCGCCCCCCCGGGTTCACGCCATTCTCCTGCCTCAGCCTCCCGAGTAGCTGGGACTACAGGTGCCCACCACCTCGCCCGGCTAATTTTCTTGTATTTTTAGTAGAGACGGGGTTTCACCGTGTTAGCCAGGATGGTCTCGATCTCCTGACCTCGTGATCCGCCCGTCTCGGCCTCCCAAAGTGCTGGGATTACAGGCTTGAGCCACCGCGCCCGGCCGTCTTGTTATTATTATTATTATTTTTGAGACAGAGCCTCACTGTATCACCAAGGCTAGAGAGCAGTGGCATGATCTTGGCTCACTATAGCCTCCAACTCCCAGGTTCAAGTGATTCTTGTGCCTCAGCCTCCTGAGTAGTTGGGATTACAGGCACATGCCACCACGCCCAGCTAATTTCTGTATTTTTAGTAGAGACAGGATTTCCCCATGTGGGCCAGGCTGGTCTTGAACTCCTGACCTCAGGTGATCTGCCCACCTTGGCCTCCCAAAGTGCTGAGATTATAGGCGTGAGCTACTGTGCCTGGCCAGTTTAGTCCTTAACATGTTTTTAAAAGGGCTCAATCACATAGTAAGTGCTCCATCAATCTTAGTAGTTGCTAATATCATTAACAAAAAGCACATAGATTCTGTGATTAGATGGGCCTGATTTCCCCTCATATTTGCCCTATGTGGCTTTGGACAAGTCACATCACACCCTGACTCTCAATTTCCCCATCTGCTAAACTGGGTTCTTGAGACCTACCTCAGAGAGGGCTGTTGTGAGGGTAAGACAGGATGTGAGTGAAGCACTAACACTGGTGCCTGGGGGTTCCCTTCCTAATGGGCCAGATTGGTCTGTGTTTGTTGCCTTTTAGACAAGAAGTTCCATGAAGGCAGGCTTCACGTCTGTGACAGGGCTGTATCCCCTGCCTCTCTGTACCTGGCACATAGCAGGTGTTCAATAAGTAGTTTTTTACTGAATGAATTAATCGATAGTAACAAGGGACCATGCTTTGCTCACCTTTGTGTCCAAAACTAGTGCAATATCTTGCATCTAATTTGAATAAAGATTTGTTGACAGAATAAACAGATTTTTAGAAATAGCTGTTTGTTTCTGTTCTCAGTTCGGTTTGAATTTCTGAATTAAACTGAGAAAGATACTGTGAAGGTTAATTTTGTGTGTCAATTTGACTGGGCTAAGGGATGCTTACATAGCTGATAAAACATCACTTCTCGGTGTGTCTGTAAGGGAATTTCTGGAAGAGATTAGTAATTTAATCAGTAAATTGAGTAAAGAAGATCTGCCCTTACCAATGTGGATGGGCAGTATCCAATCCACCGATGGCCCAAACAGAACAAAAAGGAAGAGAAATGGCAAATCCATGCTCTGTGCTTGAGCTGGAACATCCATCTTCTCCTGTTCTTGGACGTCAGCTCTCCTGGTTCTCGGGTCTTCAGACTCAGACTGGTATTTACACTATCAGGCCTCCTAGCTTGGACTGAACTACACCACCAGTTTTTTAGACCTCCAGATTGCAGACAGCAGACTGTGGAACTTCTCAGCCTTCCATAATCACAGAAGTCAATCTCTCATAATAAATCTCTTTTTATATATCTATATATAGCCTATTGGTTCTGTTGTTCTGGAGAACTCTAATATAGATACTTATAACTCATCCCAAGTCTCCTTGGTATTCTTATCTGTAAAATGGGGCTGTTAATAATTATCTACCACAAAGATTATTCTGGAAAGTAAGTGAGACAATATGTATTTGGCACATAGAAAATGTTAGTTCACTGTTGTTCCATTCCCTGAGCCTCAGTTTCCACATCTGTGAAATGGGCATCTACTCACTCATTTCTTCATTCATTTACTGAGCAAACGCAGTGCCCATGTGGAAGGCATTGTGATTAAGACCTGGGCAGTTAGATAAGTTAGAGAGTTAGAGAAGTAAGCAAGCCATGGTGAAGAACGGAGCACCTGCTTTGGGAAAGCACGCCAATAGTCACAAGTCAGTGGGAGAAGAGCCACGGGATGTATGAGGTCTCTGGGGGCTAGAGGTGTGGGGCAAGGGGACACCCAGGGTTTCAGAAAGCTTTTTAGAGAGAGACTGGTATCTCCCTAGCAAGTGATGGTATCAACAACTTGGTGTGATCACCAACATCACATCACTTTGAAATGGAGTTACCTGCTGGGGCCTCTAGTTTTCGTAGCCTGAGTTTGAAAGGCACGTCAGTCTTGCTGCAGTCCCACTTTCTACCCTGGTTCACGGAGCATAGCAGAGTTTGGTCAGAGTGTCATATCACAGTGAGCATCTAGTTCAAACAGACATTTCCTTCTGAGATTCAGCTCTGCTCTTCTCCCTTTCTGGATCCTACCTTCACAGGGGACTGAACAGTGATTCCCCTACACTCTCAATGAGGAACAATGCAGATGACGACTCTAATGAATGCTGGCTCCCTGCCTGGTTCTCCAAACACATGGCTGCCCTTTCCTGCACTGAGACCCAGTGAGACGATGCTTGGGTGTTGGCGACATGGGTGAGGCCAGGCCAGGTCTCTGGGCTCCTGCACCCAAAAGGGTCACATGCTTATCTCTGACATGCACAGCTGGTTCCACATCAACCTGCCAACCAAACTCACCAGAGATTGAAATATCTGAATTAGAATTTTATATTTAAGCTGCGTGTATTTGTGGGATTGGGAAGGATTAGTCATCTCCAGTGACCAAAATGTTTGCACCTGTTACCCCACTTTCATTTTCAGTTGAGAGAAAGTTGCATGCCAGGGATATTTAAACATCGAGGGTGGGTCTGCTGTCAGTTGTCTGGCCAGAGGTAGAAGGATGACTGAGTCCCAGCCGCCCATCCGCATCAGACCTCAGGGAAGAAGCAAGATTTACGAGGAGAGAGCCTGCCTGGCCCCCTTCTTCTGTTGGGAAAGGCTTCCCTGCAGTATTTTCTGTCTCGTCAACGCTGCATTTCATTTTAAATTGCAGTTGAAAGTAGATATTTTCCCTCTTGCCTATTACAAACCTCTTAATTTGTCTCTCCCTCTGCTGTTATTTGTCTCTATAAAGTGTTTTGCATGAAAGACCCACACAGCACAATGTTGCTTCACCCTGGGTTAGGTTTAACAGGAAGGGAAGATGCAGAGACTAAGTCCAAGGAGGAAGGTGTGACGGCCTTGCGGTTGAGGACACGCGTGTCTGGGAGTTGATGCCCGGCTGTTTTTGGAGGTATCTGTTGCCTGAATGTGGGTATGCGGGTGCACATGTCCATGTTTGTGCTAATTTGCATATATGTCTATGCATACTGTGGTATAATCACTTGGGTGTCCATACCCAAATTAAGTGTATGTTTGAGTGCATGTACACACCCACATGCCAGTCTCTGTGTGCATATGGATCTATGCCCAGACGCACACATGTGCATATAAACACACGTAGGCATCAAGGTACACGTCCGTCACATGATGTGTGTGGTCTACTGTAGACACGCTCGGGGCGCTCTTCCTTTCGCTGCTTCTCAAGGCTGCGGTCAGCCTCCCTCCCTGCTCCACCCAGGGGCCCTGGCCCCGTTTAGGGTTGTAGGAAAAGGAAGGCACGCAGTGGTCTGCGGGGGGTTAGTGGAAACACCGCCTCCGCCGACCCCGCCGCGGTCACAGCTCTCTGGCTTGGCTCCAGCCACGAGCAGCATCGCCGCGGCTCGGCGGTAGCGCTGAGAAACCCGGGGCAGCCGCCAGGGCGCGGACTGCCAGCTCCCTGACAACCCCGGACTGACACTGGGGGGCGAGAGAGGTCACCCAGCGACGGGCACAGCCCTCCAGCACTGTCTCCGGCCCGCTTCCGGGGGCCACCAACCCGAGCCTCGCGGGCGGGTTGAGGGGTGGTCTCGGTTGCTCGGGGTCCAGCGAAGACTGGGCAGTAACCAATAGGCGACTGTGGCCCAACGGGGATCCCTCGGATGCAGCCAATGCCCTCGCTGCGCTCTCCGCCCCCGCCCTCGCCAGCCCCCGGCCGCTGGACCATTGGCGCCGGCGGGATCGGGGGTGCGCGCGACGCCGGCCTTTCGGGGAGGGCGGGGCTTGGAGCCGGGCTGCGCTCCCGCCCGCGCTCTGCCTCTGCCCCGCCCCCGGACGCGCGGCCCTCAGCCCCTCTGCGGCGCGGCGGCGGCGGGAGGGGGCGCGGGGCGCGCGCGTGGGCGTGGCCGGCGGGCGTGGCTGGCGAGCGGCAGGAGGCGGGGCGGCGAGCGCTGTCGCAGTGAAAGCCCGAGCGGCGGCGGCGGCGGGGACGGCGGCGGAGGCTGCCCGGCGGCTGTGCGCGCGTGTGGGGCGCAGGCTCGGCGGCGGCAGCCCGTCTGGAGCGGTCGCTGCGAGGACGACAGCTGCAGCGGGGGAGGCGCGGCCGGGGCTGCGCGCTCCGCGGAGCCGGCGGGGCCGGGAACAGGTGATCCCAGCGGGAGCCCCGCGCCCTACCGAGTTGGAGGGGCGGGAGCCCGCGCTCCCGGGCGCAGCTGCAGCCGCCCAGCCGCGGCTCCGGACTTGGGCATCCCTGCGCTCTCGGGGGTCCGGGGAAGCCCCCTACCCCCGCAGGCTCGGAAGTGCCTTCTCCTGCTCCCTGGCCGCTCCCGGCGCCCGTTCGGCGGCGGAGAAAGTTGTGGACGTGTCCCGATAGTCGAACCGGGCGCTGTCGCGACCGGGCTGGGTGTGCGCGCGCTCGGGGCGGCGCTGACACGCCAGCCCCCCATCACCTCGGTCCCCTCCGGAAACTGCTTCTGAAGCTGAAACTTTGGGCGCCGACCAGCGCAGGCGGGAGCCCGGGGGGCGGAGGGCGGCTCGGTGCGGGCCTGCGGGCGCCCCTCGGCGCGGACAGCCGGGACGCCGCGGACGGCATGTGACGGCCCCGGAGGCCGCAGCGCGGGAAGGCGCGGGCCCCGGCGCGGCGGGGAGGGCTCGGCCGGAGGGGAGGCTGCGGCGCGCGGCCGGTCGCTGCGGGCCCGGGCCCCGAGCCGTGCCGCTCCGCTCGCCCGGGCCCCGCCGAGGCCGCTGCGCCCCCGCCTCCTCGCGGGAGGACTCACTCCAAACTCCCTGAACTTCGGGGACAGTCCCCCGAAGCGGCGAAACTCTCAGGGTTGGCAGCCCTGCCCAGGGATCCCCATCCCGGGCGGCGCTCCGGACGCCCTCTCCTCACCGCGGCCCCGCAGACACGTGCCTGGACTCCGAGGGCTTCTGGAGCCCCCGGCCCGGCCAAGATGCTCATGAGGAAAGTGCCCGGCTTCGTCCCGGCCTCCCCGTGGGGGCTGCGGCTGCCGCAGAAGTTCCTCTTCCTCCTCTTCCTCTCGGGCCTCGTCACCCTGTGCTTCGGGGCCCTCTTCCTGCTGCCCCACTCCTCTCGCCTCAAGCGCCTCTTCCTGGCCCCCCGGACCCAGCAGCCTGGCCTGGAGGTGGTGGCCGAAATCGCCGGCCATGCCCCAGCCCGCGAGCAGGAGCCGCCTCCCAACCCGGCCCCTGCCGCGCCGGCCCCGGGCGAGGATGACCCCAGCAGCCGGGCCAGTCCCCGCCGCAGGAAAGGGGGGCTGCGGCGCACCCGCCCCACCGGGCCCCGCGAGGAGGCCACGGCGGCCCGGGGCAATAGCATCCCGGCCTCCAGGCCCGGGGACGAGGGCGTCTCTTTCCGCTTTGACTTCAACGCATTCCGGAGCCGCCTCCGCCACCCGGTCCTGGGAATGAGGGCCGATGAGAGTCAGGAGCCCCAGAGCCGAGTGCGAGCCCAGCGGGAGAAAGTCAAGGAGGTATGAACTCAGCCCCCACAATTCTTCCCACCAATTGCCCCCACTAAGGAGAAGATCCTCTTTCCCTTGCCTCAGTCACTCCTGATCCCGGTGCTCCCACCCCTTTCCCTTGCCTCAGTCACTCCTGGTCCCGGGTCTACTTATGGCCCTGCAGACTACACTTTGCACCTTCCCCTTTCCTCCCAAGTGTCCCACCTTCTGTCCTCCCTACACAGTTTCCCACCACTCGGGTCAGTTAATCGTCCCCACCGTGACAGATGGCAGCTGAACCCCTAGACCAACTGCCCCCTCACTCCCAGACTCTGGTCTGTCCTGTCCAACCTCCAGCCCCAGTGAGCCCCACTCCTTCCCTTTGCGGAGTTGCTAATGAGAGAGGAGTTCAGGTTTCTTAGTGCACCCGCTTTTTGCATTTATGGACACAGAGTCACTGGTTCCATTCTTTTTCACTGTGTAACTTTAAGTCCAAAACCCCTGTAGGACCTGCTTACCTGAAAACCCAGGATTTAAGGGGATATTTGGTGTCCTGCAAATATTTTGTAATCTAGTAAGCAACCTACAAACCAGAGGATATTGTGCATTCTGTTTCTATTGAGCTTTGGAACAATTGTACACGATTGTACATAATTGCATGTGATGCAGGAAGAGATGATAAAGCAGTGGTCATGTTACGGAAGCTCCGAGGTTATTGGCTTAATGAAGCAGGTCTGGAGCTGGTTCCCTGTAGGGATTGTACGAGGAGGGATTTAGAAGGATCACTTTAAGTCTGAATCTTAGTTTAAGAAATCAGAAGCAAACACAAGCCTCACAAGGCTTGAAGACAGTTGCCAGTTTGCTACTGCTGACTAAATATTCTGCTGGACCACTGTTAGAACTGCCTGCGTGCGGATGGTGCCCAGCAATGCAGAGGGGGCTGCAGTGACACCCCCAGGCCACGAGGGGGCCGTGGGCAAGCTGTGGGCCAGGGTCTCCTCCCTAGAAACGAGAGGATGCTCTCCCCTCCCCATGGACTCAAAGGAAAGAAAGGACTGCTTTTGCCTGGACTTTTGATTTGCTGCAAAGAAGTCAGCAGGTCGGCCCTGATTTCCAGGAAGAGCAGGCAGCAAGGATCAGGACCTGCTCTGTCAAGACCTGCTCAGAGCCGATGGAGAGCTTAGCCAGATTATCCCCTTCTTCTTGTCTGAACTATTCTCCCTTCCAGCACCCACCTCTCTTCCACTTTTTATTTCTGCTGTTACTTTGTTTGGAGACTTAACTAGCAATCACAGGACATTTTGTGAAGTTACAATAGGAAGCCACAAGGAAGCTGAGTGCTTGGTATGTATGTGTGTGTGTGTGCATGTTTGTGTGCTCTCAGTTTCCAGATTCCTGTTGAAATCTCAGGTTGATCGAAAGCTGGAACTTGCAGTAGCTAAGTAAGGGGCATTAATTTCTCCCTTCCTTGTTAAGGAACTAAGCTGTTGAATACTCAAAAGCACCACCCATAGCTCTTTCTCAAAGCTGCTTCTGAGCACAGTGGCTCTTTTTGCCCCTCTCGGCCTCCTAGGAGGGCAGTGACCCCCGGTGAAATTACATATAAATTGCATGCATGCAGTTTTTCATGGGGCATCCAGAGGTGCTATCGGATTTTCAAACTGCCCAAAGGGTTAAGAATTAACTACCGTCCTCCTCAGAAGAGATACTCTCCGTGTTTGCACTTAGATGGTGGTCCATTTCCGAATGCCTGGGGCTGGGAGTCACGGCAAGAAGGGCGGGCTGGCTAGTAGGGAACTTGATTTTCCCTCTCTGTGTAAGACAGTTTCTTTTGCCAGCAGAGTCTTGGTGATGCTTGCTGGAGTGACTGGAGGGCGGTAAGAGGGGTGAGGATTCTGTGCTTTGCAGGCGGGTATAAAATAATGTGATGGGAGAAGGTCTAAGTTGGTGGCCAGATGTCTGGATCTTTCTAGCTGGCATCTTCTTGCACCCCCTGGTACTAGCTGGAGGCATGCTGCATGTACTTGGAGTTAGTGTTCAGCTAGCCCTCTCTTACTAATCTTGAAGACCTTAAGCTTCTCAGAATGGAGAGGACTGGTTTCTGTGTTTTGAAAGCTATTGACTCTTCAGGCTTCCTGCCACTGACCATGCTCCCATTACAACCCGAAAGATGTAGAGTGGTTTTTGGTTTAGTTGTTAACACAGTTACCATTCCTGCTGTCCCACCCCAGGAAGAACGCATATGATGGTTGCTGGAGGATGTCTTTATTTCCTTCACATTTAAATTCTATCTGTGTCATGCCCAGGGGTAGATCATTTTAGAAAGGTGCCTGTTTTCACAAAAGGGACTGTTGCTTTCCTCTCTGGTTTGTTTATTTCCAGACATGGATTGATTAAATCCAAGGAACAGAGGGGGAGCTGGCATCAGATAAAAAAGGCCCTGTTCTTATAAGATTTTAAAGTGAAAGTAAATATCAGGAGAGAGTCAGAGAGGGTGATAAATGAGCCTGAGTGAAAACTGGACGCTTGGACTCTGGATCAACACCGTGTATTCATGAGCATCCCGAGAGATGGACATGGTCACCAGGTCTGTGTTGATAAGATGGTTGAGGCTGCAGGTTCTGGACATGCATACGTCAGGAAACACTCTGTCACTAGAATCAACTATTTTTCCTCACTTTCCAATTTTGGAACCTTGGCAAAAGCAATGTGGTGGAGAGAGGAGACCCACAGAACATGGGTTGGAGTTTCAGCTCACTCTCAACTGTCTGACTTTGGGCAAGCCACCTCTCCTTCCTGGACCGTCTTGTACAATGGGGTGAGGGAGAGGAGAATAAGCTGGTTATAGACCCTCTTGCTTCTGGCCCTGGCCCCTAAGTGAACTGCCAGTCTGGTCAGGGACTCCATAGCAGCTGGGCTTTCCGAACTCTGTTTTGAGATATCTTGTACTGGAAGTCAGGGACAATGGTGTGATGGTAGTGGTGGTGTTGATGGGGTCGTGATATTCACTGCTGTATCTCTGTCTAGCACCTAGCCAAGAGTAGACATTCAGGCTGTTGATTAAGTTAATTATTCCCATTACCCTCAGCTTGGAATCATGAAGAGTAAAGGTGTTGGCTAGAATGTAAAGGGGTGAAGGCTTGGTAGTAGCCTTGCCTTTCAGATCTGAGGATAATATAGGAAATGGGGGATGTCATTCATAGGCGGGTTTCCTATGGATTCAAGTTCAAACGAACTTATCTCACACATGGAAATGTACAGCTTTTTCTGGTTATTACTCAGTGGAAGAATTCAGACTGCCCTGGGTCCTACCCATGATTCTTGGTTGTGTTTTTGTTGTTGTTTGTGTTTGTTTTGTTTTGTTTTTTAAGGCGGAGTCTTGCTCTGTCGCCGAGGCTGCAGTGCAGTGGTGTGGTCTTGGCTCACTGCAGCCTCCGCCTCCCAGGTTCCAGGTTCAAGTGATTCTCATGACTTAACCTCCCAATTAACTGGGATTACAGGTGCCCCACCACGCCTGGCTAGTTGGTGTATTTTTAGTAGAAACGGGGTTTTGCTGTGTTGGCCAGGCTGGTCTCGATCTCCTGACCTCAGGTGATCCACTTGCCTCAGCCTCCCAAAGTGCTGAGATTACAGGCACGAGCCTCCGCGCCCGGCCAGTGCTTGGTGGTTGTTCTGGGGAACCTGTTCTTCCAGTGAAGGGGGCTTGTTATAAAAGGGAATTAGGCTGGCTGGGGCACTGAGAACGCGTTGGGACTTGCCCTTGACCATATGGTGTTTTCAAACAAACCACAGAAAGGGCTCCTTCCTCTGGTCAGATGCAGCACCAGCACCACTCCAGAGTGCAGGGCTGGGTGAGGAAAATGTGGATTGAATTTCCCCACCTTCCCTGTGCTGTTGGCCCAGCGTTCTTATAAACCACTGTATGCCGCAGTTCTGTTAAGAATCCAAGCTGGGTCAAGTCGTAGCTGTTCCATCAACTCTGATTGGAAATTCCTGTTTATTACTGGACCTCAGTCTTCATGGTAAAACCAAAAGGTTGTCATTTAGGGGACCCTTCTGTCTCCTCCACTTCCACCTCTTTACTGTTTTGTTTATGAATCTGCCCAAGCACCTAGAATAGGGTCTGACATTTAGTTGGAACTCAGATACTTGAATGAATGGCTACATTAAAGATGTATAAACTAACAGTTAAGGTTGCTAGTGGCTGAGGCTGGGTCTTCTCCCTCAGGGTACCTGGAATTCCAAGGAGCCTCAAAGTAAGAGCTATAGTCAGGTTTAGAAGCTTAGCAGCTCAGTGACCCAGCAGGCCTTTTAGAAGTTGCAGCAATTTTCTAAGGGCAAATCTGACTTGAGGGAGTGGAGGTGGCACCCATGAGTAAAATCTCTCATGCCTAGATAGCAGGCATCGAAGGGTGCCTGTGATTTGGCAGGGAGTGCCCCAGCTCTTGCCCTCTGTGCCTGCTGCATTCAGCCGCCAGGGTATTGCTGGTTATGATATGTGACAGTGTCTGAATAAGTCATCTTGGCAAATGATCTTTGCTCCCCATTAACGGGCTGGTTCGTTAGTCATGTGTGGTTTTTTTGTGGTTTCTCTGTATATCTGATTTATCGTCACTAGTGCCAGGGACAGGTAGGAAAATTAAAAGGCTTTGTAGCATGTGAATCTGAGCCTGTGAGATGTTCAGGATAATTAATATTAGGAACAGCTCAGATTTAAATAGCTTTCCTTCAAAGAGCTCTGTTTGAGTTGCAAATCCATTCAAGATCCTTTCCCTCCTCCCTGGTCCTTCAGTCTCTTCTGTTTCCCTCTTGTCCTGCTCTACAGTACATTTAACATAGGTGGAGACTGGCCTGTAATAACTGAACAGGCCCCTTGGAAAACCCTTATGTCCTCAGCCCAGCTACACGCCTCCTCCTTCTGTAGGACAGAGTGTGCAGTTGAGTAAAGCTTAGTACTTGTCCCTACCAGGTATACAACTTAACTCCCACACGTTGGTTGGGTCTCTGCTTTCATTTCCAGTTGTACCATT